TTTGAAATAAATATTATAATGTTAAATGTATTCAAATGTAATTTAAAATACCAACCCTAGAGTTTCTTGCTCATTCTTCTCAGGGGACTCCGCCTTATAAATGAGCAGCAGAGTTTAATTAATTTGACAATTTCAAGTATAATTTGCTTATTTAGGAAATAAAAATGAATTTAAAAAAAAGAAAAATTTGAATTTGATAAGAATAGTGTTCTTTTTTCTATTATTATCATTCTGTTTCTAAGATTTATTTTCCACGCACTGAGCATCCCTTGCATATCGAAGAAGGAATAGCCTCCTTGTAGGAGACCCGTGGTTAGTTGTAAGGTTTATACTGAGTTGATGACAAAGACGAAGAGGTTTGTAATGGCAAGGCCGAGTAGATACCATCTCGCCGGAGGGATAATAATAATAATAATAATAATAATAATAACGCTCACAATCAACATATGAGGAGCGAAGGATGGAGGAGCGAAGAGTCTCCAGGACATCATTACGCTGTGTAGCAGCCACAGACGTGCCAGAATGTCTAACTCTCTTCCATGTCCACACCGTAACATGTTGATTTTCTGCCGTGTTTGTTATTTCCTCAATGTGCAGAAAGTTGCTGCTATATCGTGGTCCCTTGTTGGTCTGTACCAAGCCCTGCCTGTACGCAGCCCTGTGGCTGCGTTCTTCCAGTCGCGGTGTGTTCTTCATCGTCGGGTTGTTCTTCGTCGGGGTCACCAGCTTACCATGGCGCAGGTGAAAAGGTGTTGGTTCGCCATGGTAGTTTAGTGGGAGAATGATAGACGAGTCGTGGGTTGGTAAATGACTGTATATTAATGTATGAACTGATTATAACTGATGGTATATTTACTTGAGCTACTTATTTATACTCATTTGGTACGTGTGTCTTATGCTGATTCACAAGGCATGGTTGTTACTTTTGCTTGCACTGAGACGTGCCTGAATGTCGGAAGAGGGTTAGACATTCTGGCACGTCTGTGGCTGCTACACGCTGTTTAAGGAGAGCGACCCAGGCGACGTGCCTGCTTTCGTGGCGAAGGAGCTGCACGAGCTGCCCCTTGACACGTTCGACCATGTCTGCGTCACCAGGCTACTGAAGGACATCACGTCCCTAAAAGCAAGCCTTGAAGTTCGGTGTAAATTGGAGGCCTTCATCATCAACATCAGTGATTTACGTGCCCAAGTTGTGTTACTTAGTAGTGCAGCTTCTGTAAGTAGGTCACTCAAGGCCTGCAACGTGAATACATGTCGCGGGGCGCAAAACGCATCTATCGGCTATTTTGTGTCGGCTCACATGGATGTGTCACCGACCGCTGCCGCTGACACCGCGCGCGTTTCCCCACGCCCCGCCCTTCGTTTTTCCGCCCCGGCGGAGACGTTAGTCGTAAGCACGTTGACCCCTCGGCGTGATGACGCTGCTGTTGCCGCTGCTACCCAACCCACTGCTCCACCACCACAACCCAGGCAACCAACGAAGGGGAAGAAGAAAAAGCGGTAACTCATCTCTGGGGCTGTGTTGTCATTACTACCGAGAGGCGTAGACCAGTGCGACGAGGACGGCTTTAAAGAGGTGGAAAAGAAAAAGTACTTCTTTTTCTTAGCTCACTAACCGTAACCTTAGTGGCACCGCCCCGACTGGCCCCAACCATTTATTGCGTCCAGCCCTACCGACGACGTTGCTATACGTGTCACGACTGAAAGCCAAATTTGAATTCTAATTCATTTGTGGTGAGAGTACCAACACAACATCTGTCGACCTTCATGGAGGAGAACTTTTGGCCGAAGGGTGTCTGATGTTCCGGCGTTTCTAAGGACTGCCATCGGACACCCACGTTACGTCACACGTCATCGTCCATAAGTGTAAATAAATAAATTGTCTTTATCATATTATTATGTATGTTAGTCTATAAGGTATGTATTTTATGGGTTCTTCTTCTGTAACCTGAAAATACATAAATAAAAAAAGACATAGGTACGTCTCATTATTGGTAATAATAGTACATAGAACTGGACTAGGGTTCTTGACGATTTTTGTTTTGAAACCATGTACCCATCTCTGAAGCTTTGGCCGTGTCGTGTGTGTGTGTCGCGGAGACCAGGTCGACTTAAATGTTACGTGTTGCGCGAGGGCTGTGTATTATTAATTAGTCTATTCACTGTTTGCTATATTTTAATTCTGAATTTTATGTTTGGTTAGGTTCCGTTGGGAGCAGGGTAGTTGGTATGATCGCTTCAAGTCATAACTACTTCACAAAACCTGTACATAATCGATAGTTGCATAGATTCAGCAATCTCAATTTTATATAGCGGCCATCTTGAATCCGCCATATTGGAAAATTTTTGATCCCGGTAGAATTAGTAGTATTATTAGAATTTGAAAGCTATATATCCATCTCTGATGCTTTGACCGGGCCGTTTATCACGGAGACTAGGTCGACTTGGATGTTGCATGTTGCACAGAGGCCGAGAATTCAAGAATTGACGAGTATGAATTGCAAGGCTGAGCGCAGTGAGGCCTTGTATTATGCAAGTCGGGCAATTCCCGTGCCCGCTGATGTATACAAGGAACTATTTTAACCACGATTAAGACGAATTTTACGACACTTCATATATCGAAATCCATGAAGCCGTTTAGGCTGTACAGGAAAACATAGAAATGGATATACAACCCTCCCGCAGTCGGGTAATGAAAATAGTTTCATTTCCAATGCGTATTATTTACGAAAACCTAAAAGTTCGACATTATCATCATATTTAAAAATAGAAATAGAAAATCGTATATTCCTTTAAAAAAACATCACAGTACTCATGAATTGTATAGTATAAAATAACGTAAAGATTTAGAAACATGGAATTAAACTACAAATAATAAAAAAGTACAAAGCGTGTGTGTTGTGCTGCTAAGGAAACAGTGACCCACTCAGTTTGCTGTCGTCTCACTCAAAGTACCATGACGCTGATTTTCAACAGATCCAACAACAGATACACACGTAACACGGAATACAGTACCCGTCACATATGGACACTAAAAACATTGCATGAAACAAGCACATATTACTATAAACACAAACATGATCGCATTGACTCTTCTATTCAGTACGAGTAGAATTATTAATGAAGTTACCAGATATCTACATGGCACTCCTAGGAATGAGTAGAAACGTATGTTATTGCATAATTAATTCTACATTTAAATTGTAAATAACATTGCAATTTGAAATAATTGTAAACATTTGTGTAACAGCATATAATAATATTGTAACTATTTCATCATGTCACCTTGGTATTAAAAATTAATATTCGGATGGTTAATAATTTATTAAAATTTAACTACATAAGTATAAGTTGTTTATTGTAGACAACCCCAATACATCAAAAGCTACGTTACAGATTGTTGAACATTCAGCAAGTAAGTCTTGAGTAATTTTTTAGAAGAAAAAAATTATTAGGCATTTCTGATAGGCGGTGGTAAGTTGTTCCAGATCATCGTATAGATCACCGTTAGGGAGAGGTATTATTACTAAAAATTCACAAATATACAAACATAACTTAGAAAATAAAGTTCTACGTACAGTCAATGCCTTGAGATACCCGACCCGCTGTCCGTCTATTAGGTTCTGAGTAAATCAGTGCGAAGAAAGCTGTTTAGCCAACTTGTACTTTAACTGGTGAGCATTAAAATTCATTTTGGTATGACTTCTTCATTGCATCATTAATGAATAACGTTTTAAGGAACTTTTTAAGGCAGTTTGATTTTTAATTACATAAATAAAAAATTTGAACCAAAACGCTGTAATTCTTTACATATTTCTGTTGAATGCGTAAAAAGGCTCTCAGAACCGAAAGGGTATGGGTATCTTCTACTGGTAGGAAACGTCAGACATGAGTACTTCACTTCGCGGTATAACAAATAAACTAACAAATCATGCAGTGGAGCTTGCAGTTCAGCAGCATGCTTTTGACACCGACGATAAAAATTTAGCATTTCTAGAAACCTTCTTAAACCTTTTACGTTTTTGGGAGGTGGAAAACTCTGTATGATTTTAACTTTATCATCGAGAGGGCCATTGGCAGATACCTTATACCCTAGAAAAGTGAGTTTATCTTGACCAAAATTACGTTTAGTAACGTTGATGACGACTCTATGCTCCTCTAACCGAGCGAATAGGATACGCAGATGTTCTTTATGCTCTCTTTTGCTCCTGGAAGCAACCAAAATGTCGTCGATGTATGGAAAACAGAAGAAGTCCAGACCACGTACGAGTTCATCTATGAAGCGTTGGAAGGTTTGAGCTGCGTTTCTGAGGCCGAAGGACATATAAGGGAACTCAAACCATCCAAAAGTGTGCACTTAAAGCGCGATAGTCACCACATGGCCGCTAGGTATTGTCACGTTTAGGGACCATGTGAAGGGTCCCCCCTTGGGTCTCGCCCAGTGACTACTCGAACGGCGTGCGGTTCCTTTTCTCACCATAGCTTCAAGTTCAGCTCTCGCGGCCTGTAAGCGATCCAAGCCAATTTACGAGGTCTACAGAAGACATGTGGTCCAGGTGTAGTATTAATGAAATGGACAGTTGAATGACGTACCTCTCTATGTATTCCTGGCGGCTTCGTAACGGCAGGATAATGAATGAGCAGGTCGTGGTATTCCGACGTTCCAGCAATGATGGCCTTGATACTTCCGACATCTGAGTTGGCGGCTGTGGCTCCTATGGACATATTAGTGATTCCATCTAGAAGTCTACTGTTACGGCAATCCACCAACAGGCTGTAGAAAGACAAAAAATCTGCTCCTATTATTGGTTTTGACACGTCGGCTACAATAAATTTCCAGCTAAATTCTCCTCCAAATCCTAAGTCCAAAATTCAGCTGCAGGTGGATATACCTGTACGTAGGTATAATCGTACCGTTTGCTGCGGTGAGCTCGTAGTTTACTCTGGCTCAACGTTTACTCGGGTACACGCAGAGGTCCGAACCTGTATCTATCAAGAAACTACGCTTGGAACAGAGGTCTGTGACAAACAGATGGCTGGAAATACTGCAACAATCGCTTGCTGTCATTAGCGACTGTTTCCGAGGAGAAATCACAAGGTGATGAGCAGTGTTGAGCTTTCTCTTTGAAGGTACAATGATACCAGCACAGGCGGCGTCCTCCTTCGGTGCGGTATGGGCGGCTACGTGCCTTGCTTCTGGACTTACTGCGAGAATGAGATTTCCAGCTGTTGGTGGAGCGGTTAGATTTACGTGACTCCTTCTGGACGGCCAATCTATCTAATTTGCGAGTAACTTCCGCTAATTCGCTATGCATTACCTCTAACTCACTCCCCGCAGCTGAAGTACTTGCGACCAGGCCAACTGGATTCATCGGCACGATTTCAAATACACGATCAGCCAAGTCTGCCAGGTCTTCCAGAGTCATAGAAGATTGTGAGATTACCAGTGGCTGTATGTTGACTGGAAGACAATTGGTCCACACGTTGCGGATGAATTCGTTGGTTACATCTGGACCTGTCAGGTCTTTAAGGTGGTGCAGGAATGTAGATGGCTTCCGGTCTCCAAGCTGTTCGTGTGACAACAGTGCCTGAACTTTCTTCGGCTGTGAAACTGACAAACGCTTGATTAGTTCGGTCTTGAGTTTCTCATATTTGTTACTTTCGGGTGGATTTTGGATGACGTCATCTATATGCTCTGCTATGTGAGGTTCCAAATTTCCATAAAATTTTGTTTGGTCAGTGGTAATGTTAGCCAAAGCAAATTGGGCTTCTAATTGAGCGAACCAAACAGCTGGTTTTTCTGCCCAAAATGGAGGTACTTTTACGCCCACTCTAGCAGTCTTCGCGCCCAACGCGGCAACTATCGCTTTTGCAAGCGCGCTCTCTGCACCGCCAACGTCACCGGTTGCCATTTTTGAAATCGGTTAAAGCAAATTATTAAATGTCACATACGTGCTTTCACTTCAGAGGTGTAGCGATGATTCGGGCGGTTACAAAACAAAATAAATATTTTGACGGAATCTTCTAGGTTAAACGATACGTATGGGTACTTGCGCGTTTTATCTTGTATTTTTCAAGGAACGATTCCCAGTCGATGATTAACAGCTTTCCACAGGACTCCTCGGTGCGAAAACTTTCACATCACGGGGTCACCAATTTATGGGTATCTTCTACTGGTAGGAAACGTCAGAAATGAGTACTCCATTTCGCAGTATAACAAATAAACTACATTGGCAATTAAGCAACGTACAAATTGCAGCACAATTACGAAATGGCAAGAGAGCAAGCACAAAGCGGTACGGCCGGCTAACAACGGACTGGCGTGGTGCGGGGGACGCTGAGCTCAACTCGGGGGCAGCGCGCAGTGACGTTGCATGATGCATGTGACGTTGCCCGAGTAGACGGGGCCTCCGGAGCCGACGCGCTATTGTACATGTCACGCGGCTATGGCATGATGCGGGCGATAGCACTTGCGCAGATCATTGTAACTGCCATTCTGTGGAGGAAACATAATACGCGAAAAGTTTGTGGCGTGAGCGCTACAGTCGGCTGGAGGAGGAGCTCAATTCGACTGAATTAATAATTACTGTGGCGTTTGTGAACCGATTTTGATGATTCTTTTTTTTGTTGGAAAAAGGGTATCTCAGTATAAGTCTTACTTAAATTTAAAGAAATATTCCTTCTCTAAGGGTGGCAAACTACTTCCAGTAACCGATTGTCAAATAGGTAGATGTAACTCAACGAACTTTTGAGGTCTGTTTTTTCATAAAAAAGTTACAATTATAGGATATCGATAGTAAATGTACAGGGATTTGAACAGCCGATTTTTCAATTGAAAAGCAACCGCTCTCCACTGAGCTACCAGCGTTCAATTAATACATTAGACTGAAGTAGGTTAAGTGAAATTTCCACTTTAGAAAATACTAAAGTGGAAAATACTGTACACAACTGTGTGAGTTGTATCTGTTCGAAAATATATTTCTTATTACGGCCGACGGCCCTCAAAGTTATATTAATGCTGAAACTTGTTTCATATTTCTTATTCAAAGTCAGGAGAATGATGGCGTGTTTATATATTAGAAGTTATAAATTACAATATATACATAAGATTCACATCTGTTTGATAAGACCGGCAATAGCTTAGTGCGACAACGATTGATTCTCAATGGTCATGGTGATATGACTTCAAGTTTTTAAGTTCATTGACACCTAAGCATTTTTTATTAGCAATATCTCTCGTTAACGCTGAAGAAGAACATGGTGATGTAACCTGCACGTCGAAGAAGGTGCGCCACCCCTGAAAACGTGTGAACTTAATAATAATAAAAAAAACTGCCTCAACCTGTAACTCCCATGCCCCCATATCACTAAAACAACATTTCAACACCTCTAACGAACACTACATCAACTTTATTTGAAGTAATTTTTGTAAACAGCCATATTTATTTACTAATATTGTGTTCCCCGAATTCTGTGCAAAATAATAAAGAAACAAAAAACAAAATTCGAAAAAAAACAAAATAAGAACAGAACAGATCCAAGAATTAAGTTGCCGTACCTGGAGTTTATTGGAGATATCGATTTACATAAAAACAATACAGTTATCTTCATAACCATATTAATAAACTAAATAACACAAAATAAAATAAAAGTAAAAACTGCTGCGAGTGTACATCACTCGCTAAGTGCCTATGATTGAATGTAGAACACAGATAACTAAATGGTTGAAATAAAAAAAATATAACGAAATTGAAAATCTTTTGCGAATCTCGACCTGAGTAATACAGAATCATAGACCACATAATTCTTCCGTGTACATAATAATAACTGACCTACACATGCACACACGTTGCGCCAATAATTTTCTTTTAATTTTATTATTTTATTTACTCTCATCTAGTGGCGACCTGTGACCAACTTTGTGATATCAGAAGATGTGAAAGAATTCGTCCGGGGAAATACTGCCACCTTACCTATTTTTGTCGTAACTAACTAACTAACGTAATTTTGTAGTAACGTGAGCATTACTAGCAATTATAGGCACCATTATTTACCACCATGCGCTTTATTATTGAATATATACCAATTGAACTCACGTAAATGTAAGGAAAGTGTATTGAAATGGTTTTAATGATAAATTACAATGACAAAGAAGCACTTTTGCACTATACCTGTTAGGTTTAAAATTGGCCTATAAATCTAAATTTTATCTATACATATTTTTATCTACATAAATACATTCTTACTGTTATCAATCAGTATATGAAATTGCATAGACAGTAAGATACCCACATGGTTCGTTCAAACAAAAAAGAAAACAATTATTTAAAGTTAGTCGCGACCAAGGAACCTATGCAGGGCCTAGAAGTTACAAAACAAAATATATACGTGAATTAAATCCGAAAAAGAATTAAGTCTTATAGTTGTTTTTGTTTTTTTAGCAACGCCACACGACGGAACGGGGCGCTGCCGTTCCGTCGCGTTGAAGCAATTCTATGATTTCAACGCACCTAGTGCCATACCAGTAATGCCGTGTCGCAACGTAACATCGCTTAGGTATTTACGCATCGTAGCACCTCTCCCCGCTTCGTCTCCTGGCCCCTTGTACGATGCGTACGCCTTCCGTTGTCGCGTTTGAATGCAACATGTGGCATTTAGTTCTAATTTCGAATAATCAATGTTTTTTTTATTTATTCCTTTGTAAATTTTGTTATAAATAGACAAGTTAGTAATAAATATTCAATTCATAGATACAATTTTCAATGTACTAGTCAAAGTTGCAAATATTTTCCAAGAGGTCTGGAAACCTGGTGACCTGAATACAGACCCTACGTCCAGTTTTGGCACGAGTCCCCCACAGTGTCATTTGAATTTTTATATATTGTTGTTATTAATTTATATATAGTACGACCATGTACAACGCAGCGTCACCGCTCAGGTGTCGCGCGCAACATCGACGCAACGCATAAAACGAGTAAAAAACACGGCTGCCCTTGTGCTCTTAGAAGGTGAACTAAAAATTTTTTTTTTCTTGTCAGTACAAAAATGTGTGTTTTGACATTTTTTGATACCCAATGCCATGCTCACTCGGAATGACCTCCATGGTCATTCCGAGTGAGCTCTTACTTTCTAATAATACTACTTAATTCGAAATCGGTTAAAACATTCAGAATTTACAGAGGAATCAATAAACGATGTTTCCTTACATATATTTACCATGATATGTATTATAGAGTGACTATCGGTTTCGATAATATAATAATTGCTTTGCACAACTCTAATGTATATTTCAAATTCGGGCTGGCCAATCGGAGCGCAGTAGTCACCAGTTGTCCTTTGACGGAATAGTTTTGTCACAAAATAAATGACATTTCGTCTCTGTTTCTGGTTATATACTTGATGTGTGGCATATGGCATAGAACATAACGGAAGCTCATCCCAAACAGTACAATGTAAACAGGGCTGGGCAGCATTTGAATTATCTGTAATTGACACATGTATTTTGTATTGATGTTTCAATTACTATTTTAACATTATTATCCTATAAAATATACCAATGGGGTATTTTTTATATCTGTATTTTTTCTATCTGTGATAATAATTTTATTTTGTATTTTTTGTTTTGTATTTTTTTTATAATATCAAGCAACGGGACGAACAAGTCGTGCGCCTGAAGGTAAGCAGCACGCCTGTCCATAACAGTTGCAGTGCCACTCAGTACCGTAAATCGCAAAGATCTGATGGGCATTGCCATTGCATCCGTCACCCTGAAACATAAGTTGGAGTTCCATGTGCCTGTAATTTCACCAGTACCCCACCCTTAAAAACCGGAACGCATTAATGCTAACATTACTGCTTGGCGGCAGAAATAGGTAAGGTAAATAACAATACTGACTGTCCTGGACAAACTATTTCACAAGGGCCTCTTATGCTACTAAATATATATTTAAGAACGTATTTTGTAATTTACCTTTTAATTGAAACATAAAGTTAAGAGGAAATAATACAAATACCACCCTCCGTGGAAAACGGTACAAATCGAATTACGTCGAATTGTTTTTTACTACAGTGCCGTTGTATAGATAACGAAGTCACGTCCCTTCTAATTCATATAACTCTATCGACAACGCTGACTGAATTATAGCCAAAAATCTAAACTATATTTTAGTAGCACAGTAGAGCTCCTTGTGAAAAGGATTGTTCAGAAGTACTGCCACCATGCCTGTTTCTGCAGTCAAGCAGTAATAGGCATGGTAGTAAAGTGATCCTCAGATCTTTGCAATTTAATGATAGGCGTGTTGCTTACCGTTAGGTGCACGACTTGTTCGTCTCGTCGTTAGAAAAACTACATTGTGGCCATTGACTTACAATTATATGGACGTCGGGTCCGCGCTAAAAAGTGTCCGAACTTATTGGGCGTTAAAATCGTATACAGAGCGTCATTCACGCTTTAGTCTTCGTTTGTTCGACTGACAGCGAAGCAAGCAAAATTAGACAGTACTGCGATGACATTACAATTTAAATTTAACGTTTTAGCTTTTTCATATTCCTTTACATGTCACTACGTTTAAATAGGTTGACTTGGGACATTTTTTTCGTGGTTTGTGTATTAGACCCGTCGTCCATTTATTTGTAAGTCAATGATTGTGGCGGAGTGATTCTCAACGTTGTTAATATTTTGCTACAGCCTGATAAAGCTATTGTATTAATAAAATTAACGATTACAATGAAAAAGTGTAATAAAGAAGGATCCGTAAAAACCAATAGTGGAATTCCAATCCATTTGTCGTAGAACCAATTTTTTCAAAAGAACAAAAAGTAAAGGAAAGATTTCTTAAAAAAGAAAACTCACGTAAAAGTGTAAAACTATTTCAATTAAGAGTCTCGTAATGTTCCTACGGAAACTTTGTTT